TATTCTGACAAGTCCCTGTACACCCAGCTGTGCTTTTACCGGTACATTTTTGATGTGGACTCTGCACTGGAGAAACTCACTACCGATCATGAGAAAGGTACGTTAAAATACTGTAATTACCTGTGAGTTTAAAGTGGAAATTTGCATCATAAAAGCCAGACCTACTGTGTCAGGCTGTTCACGCAGCATCACACCTCTGTCTCAGAAGCGGGCCGTGGGGGCCGTGGGGAGCGCAGGCATCCCCTGCCCGAGGGGCGGCAGCATAGGAATCCCCAGCTTTGGCCCCCACAGCCTGGCTCCCATTGTTCTCTGTTAAAGTGGAGTTTGGGGGGAGGAATGGGAGAAAAAGGACTTTTTAAGTGCTGTATTTCAAAAATGCTATTTTCTGTAGAATTGAGTAATTGTAATAAAGTAAGCATAGGCAATGTGATCATTGGACCTACAAAAACCAGATATTACCACAAAAAAAAATAGACCTAGAGTGTGTGTCTGCTGTTCACTAAAAGCCCACGTTCATTTTGAGAGAGAGGGCTAGGGTAGAGTTCTTTCATTGACTCATCCTAAGAGAGCGAATGGGCACCTCAGCGTCGATGATCAGGGGCGGCACATAAGCCTCACACAAGACTTGCAGGCACTGTGGGACTTAATGGGTCTGAGAAAAGCTGTGTTACATAACTTAAAGTATTTGAAAATGTCATGACAAGTGCATGGGTTGTTTTTTTTCTCCTACCTGAAAATCACATTGACAACTTTTCTATTACCTGTAAAAAAATAAAAGAGGCAAATTTACACATTTTTCTTATTAGTTACCTACAGAGTGTTTATGTTGTTTGTCAGGAAATACCAATTCAGCATTTTGTTGGTTGGTATTAAGGCTGGAGTTTTAACCTCAAGGGCATATAGAAACCTTCAAATACAGCCAGATTTCTTCACAGGACAGTCCCCAGGCTGCCTTTCATTTGGTCTTAACTGTTTTCACTCCTAGCCACAGTTGACCTCAGTTTTTCCATTTGCAAAGATAAGGCTAGAAATTATTTTTAAATACCTTGACTTTTTTGGGGTTTTTTGTCCTTGGATATGAAATGCTTTACAACTGATGGAGGAGTTGTTTCGTATATTAGTATCTTGTCTTCAGATGTTCCACAAGAACTTGGGCTAGCTCCACAGCATATTTTCAGTGAATCAGTAAAATTGATACAGAGAGAAAAATTCCTTCAGTCTATTAATGACTAGGTCTTCGGACTGTGATTCATGGCTGATGTCTTGCCCATGTTTACTTGTAGTATTATCAGTAGTTGTTTCTTTTACCCCCAAGGACCTTTTCCTTAAAGGCGTTAAGGGTTTAAAGAATTAAGTACTGATTCTCTGACAAGTACATCGTCTATTTCTGTTGGGATTGTTAACTCTTTCTGGGTATCTCTATATTACAACTAGATCCCCTTTTACTTCTTTATGAATCCAAATTGTTCCCTCCATGTTCTTAAATTCCTAGTGGATAAGTTCTTCTTCCAGACATTTCCAAAATTCTTACCTGAAGAGCTGAATGATTAGATTTTTAAAAGTCCAGTGACTCTTGACATGTAGAAGTGATCTGGAAAGTCACTGGAGACCTACCCCAGCTTTTTAGACAACGTCAATGGATGTATGTCGCTCTCCCAGAAAATACGAGGGAACAGAGTAGCCACTTGGAAGCTTCTTGCTTGGCAAAGGGCGAGAAATGTTGACAGAATCTTTATACTCACACAATTTACTGTAGTTCTGTTTCACAAATTTAAGAATAGGGACACTTTTTTTGTCATTTGCTCCTAATAAGTACATTCTCCGGGAGTTCAGGGCCAACACAGCATGGAGTAAATTATTGATGCATTCTTCTACATGTCAGAAGGCTAAAGAAAATAAAGCAAAAGAAGAGTGTTAATTATTGAAATTATTTTTCCTTTGATCTTCTGCTGATTTATTATTCCTAAATTGCAGTGTAAGAATGAGTGAGTTTGCTGAAATTTTTATGCCCCAAGTGTTTTCAGATCATTCAGCAATGCTCAGTGATGTTAGGGTATTTGTTAGTGGTAGGATATAAACTGAAATGATGGGTCATTCTTACCTGTGGCCCAAGAGCAGAGGTTTCCTAACAAGTGACATTTGATAAGCTCTTTCCTTAGAGTCACCTGGGGACATATAAAGACCCAAGTCCATTGATCCTATACCCAGGGTTTTTCTAATTCAGAAGCTGTGGGGCAGAGTTGAGGTAGCTCACTTTTTTAGAAGGTTCCTCCCAGACAATTATGAACACGTCAGTTGGATAGTTTCTACGTAAAAGAGAATTGAACACACGTTGTCGTCCGTAGGGAACAATTGGAGGACAATATTCTTAATAGTCTATAGGTGAACAATTAGAAGGGAAGCATCCATAAGCATAAATTAGCACAGCACATGTATTCACATCTCACTTTGTAAGTTGGAATGAAATACACTCTTCTGATTTGCTGTTCAAGGGAGATGTGCTTTAAAAATGAATTGACAATCTATGGGATCCAGAGGGCAGATGTATTTATTCAATTTGGACCAAGGCCAGAACACCAGTAGAAGTTAGCATCAAAAGTCCTGTGAAAAATGACAATCGTTATACACAGTTATACTGTTGAGAGTGGAATCTAAGTATCATCTGTCAACAAGTGCCCTGGAACTGGCGTATCAAGTATTTACCATAGGCTCTGCCTTACTGTTGGTACCTAGCAACATTCCCTTCACTAAGATGGTTTTACCATTTCCTTTATAAAGCCCATATTTTAAGGGTTGTATCTGGATGGTGGTTTTAATTTTTGTTTGGAACTTGGCAATCTGACTTGCCAAATACACAAGCTATTTGAAAGAAGTTTGTTTATTTTTGTGGTGAAAAGTAGCTCTTGTCAAAGCTTTTTCCTGTGCTTTGCTTTCAAACGAAGGTTTACAGGCCATTAGTCCATAATGTGAATTAACCTCATTTGGTATTTTTCCCTTTCTTTTAAAATGGTCAGGGACTGTTACTCACTTTGGTGAAGTATTTACTGCATATTCACTGTAACTACATAGCAGTTTGAAAATCTTATTTCTGTGGGACTTTGGCATTATTATTATAACTGCTCCAGAATGTACACAGATGGCATAATAGATCCAAAAGAAATTTTAAAGGAACAGAGTGGCAATATATGAAGTAAAAATCCATTTCCATGATGACAGCGCATAATAGTTCCATTTGACTGCCTCATCCTGCGGGGGCCTTGGCCTGAGTAGGGATAAGTGAACTGTTTGGGGGAGACATGAGTCAGTTCATATCTTTGCCCAATTGTCTAAATTAAGTTTGCTTAAAAGTACAGGAGGGAAAAGAGTCACTTTTCTCAACTGAGCCTTTTTTTGTTTATTTGGCAATGATAGAAACTGTGTGTGTGTGTATTTTTTCTATTATTTGTTGAGCACCGTCCCAGATGTCAGAGGAACAAGGATGGCCAATGATCCCCGACCTGGAGGAGCTTAGAGTCCATTGGGGACAGAAAGATTCAGCAGCAATATAGTGTGATCAACCACCAATCTGATCAAATTGTTTTGGAGGCAAAGAGAGGGATCCACTCACTGCCTTTTTTTTTTTAATAGACTTTGTTTGTTAGAGCAGTTGTCAGTTCACAGTAAGAGTGAGCAGAAGGTACAAAGATTTCCCATGTACACCCCCCCCACGCACAACCTCCCTCATTATCACCCCCCACCAGAGTGGGATATTTGTTACAGTTGATGTCCCTCCGTTGACACATCATTATCATCCACAGTCCATAGTTTACCTTACGGTTCACTCTTGGTGTTGGACATTCTGTGACTTTGGACAAATGTGTCATGACATGGATCCACCATTACAATACACAGACTAGTTTCACTGCCCTAAAAATCTGGCTCCCCCTGCTCATCCTTCCCTCCCCCCTAACCCCTGGCAACCACTGATATTTTTACAGTCTCCGTAGTTTGGCCTTTTCCAAAATGTCATATACTTGTCGCTTTTTCAGATTGGCTTCTTTCACTTAGTAAAATGCATTTTAAGTTTCCTTTGTGGCTTCTCATGGCTTGATAGCTCATTTCTTTTTAGCGATAAATAATATTGCAACGTCTGGATGTACCACAGTTTATTTATCCATTCACCTACTGAGGGACATCTTAGCTTCCAAGTTTTAGCAGTTACAAATGAGGCTGCTGTAAACATCCACGTGCAGGTTTTTGTGTAGAGAGTTTTCAGTTCCTTTGGGTAAACACCAAGGAATGCAATTACTGGATCATTGATAAGAGTATGTTTATTTTTGTAAAACAAACAAACAAAAAAACTTGACAAGCTGACTTTCAAAGTGTCTGTACCATTTTATTTTCCAGCCAGTGGTGAATGAGAGTTGCCATTACTCCACATCCTCACCAGCATTTGGTGTTGTCAGTGTTCCAGATCTGGGCCATTCTAATAGCTGTGTAGTGTTATCTCAGTGTTGTTTTAATTTGCATTTCCCTGATGACACATGATGTGGAGCATCTTTTCATATGTTTCTTTGCCATTTGTAGATCTTCTTTGGTAAGGTGTCTTTGGCACCTTTTTTTTTTAATCGAGTGGTTTTCTTATTGTTGTATTTTAAGCGTTCTTTGTATATTTTGGAGAATAATCTTTCATCAGACGTGTCTTTTGCAGATATTTTCCCCTAGTTTGTAGCCTGGGTTTTTTTCACTCTTTTGAACACTAATTGCCTTTTCACTTTTTTTCTGTTCCTCTTCTCTCTTACCGGATGCTTATCTCCTCTTACTTGTGTCAGCTGCTTGTAAGACAGTGTCTTAGTGTGCTACGCTTGCCGTAACAAAGTGGCACAGGCTGGCGGGCTTAAACAACAGAGATGTGTTTCCTGATAGTTCTGAGGCTGGGGGTCTGAGACAGGTGTCAGAAGGGTTGTTTCTTCTGGGGCCTCTCTCTTTGGCTTGTAGATGGCCATTGTGTCCCCGCGTTCGCATGAGCTTCCCTCTGTACCTGTCTGTGTCCCATTTTTAACTTAATTACCCCTTTAAAGGTTCTGTCTTCGAACACAGTCACATTCTGAGGTACGG